CGTCTGAAAATAACTACACAGACATGGAAACCAGATGAATGGACAACATCCCTGATCATTTATGTCAAATTCAAAACGGTGCAGCCTCTATGGCTGCAGTCCATTGTGCTGGCCTCTTCAGCTGCATTCAGAGAAAGAATTGGACTTCTTCAAAGGCTCGCTAATAAAACAGCTGGAACAGCCTTGCACTTCCTTACCACCACAATACCACAATACAGGGCAAACAAAACTCTTAAAGGTGCTTTTATTAGCAACCAACATGGAAATGTAATTTAATCTAGTTTAACAGTTCTGTAAACGGTCTATTCTGGGTAAGGTTTTCTAACATCTTAAAGTCAAAATTGAGCTATAATTAGTTAAACTGTATTAGAAATTAGTTTCCTTGGTTTCATAAGAGCGGTGAATATAATTACTTACTTTCAAATAAGACTGAGGGCATGAGACGTAACCTATACAAATGCACACCAACATTTTTAAAAAATTAGATTTTTAAATAGATGAAGTCGTTTTAATAAGAAATTTTAAAAAGCATCACATTTGCAACAGTTACTGTTTGGAGCAAAGAGAAGGCCAGTGCTCCCCCTGTTGATGAGCAGCAGCTGGCTGAAATACGGCTCCCAAAAGTGAACCAAGGCAAAACAAAACAAAAAAACAATGTCATGTAATGCTCAGTGGGGCAGTGGGTAGCACTGCTGCCTTGTAGCGAGAAGGTTCTGGGTTCGATTCCCCTGGGCCGGTGTGTTTCTTCATGGAGTTTGCATGTTCTCCCTGAGCATGTGTGGGTTCTCTCCGGGTACTCCGGCTTCTTCCCACAATCCAAAAACATGACTGTTGGCTTCTCTAAAGTCCCCTTAGGTGTGAGTGTGTGCGTGAATGGTTGTTTTTCCTGTTTGTCTCTGTGTTGCCATGCGATGGACTGGCGACCTGTCCAGGATGCACCCCGCCTCTCGCCCACAGACAGCTGGAGATGGGCACCAGCACCCCTCGCGGCCCCACTTGGAATAAGCGTGTAAGAAAGTGGATGGATGGATGTCATTTCAACTAAAAGAGGGCAAATAATCACTCATATTATAGAAGGGCCCTTTTATGATTGCGATAAGCAAAATAAACGTACTATATAGATTATAGTCCTCTGCTGTGGAGTTGTATCACAAATCAACATTGATCCTGTTCCAGTCTGAATTCAGTAAAGGTCAGAGCCTGGACAAATCCCGTCCAAAAATACCACATCTTTTTGTTATTCAAAGTCAATAACAATGTCCCAAAATGAGTAACAGAATATTTGTACTGTTTTATAAAAGTCTGGTTTCCACTTTCTTCAACAAATCGGAATGTACCACCATTACCCCCCCAAAACATTCACATCAGTTTGTTGAACTTGTCAGAACTTTGGCAAATCCCAGCCCCCCAAAGGTAAAGATGCAGTCGCAGTTTGAAGAAGACGAAATACAAAGCACTCTGTCTTACAGAAAGCAAAACTTTGTATTCCAGCTGTGCACAATACAGCCCTCTTGCAAGGATGACTGTCCAAGGCCTCATTTATGTGTGAACCACTGGATTCCTGCAAGTGTTTCTCTCCAGCAAGATTTCAGTAAAGGTGTTTTATTTTGCTCTGTTTATTTGCTCGTTATCCCCCGATGCAGCTGTCCAGCAGTTTCGGCCTCCTGCTGTCTCTCTCTCAATATCCACATTTTTCTTCTTTCAATACCTCACACTAAACACAAACAAAGCAAACCTCTAGAACTTTGTAACAGATTTGAGTTGGCGATATGCAAGTGTGGACACCCCAGTGACGGCTGAAATTTGCATTCAGAAAACAAGAGCTAAAATCCTGCTGTGATCACTTTGTTGGCAGAATAAAGTCCAAATGGTGCATTTAAATATTTTAGCTGCATCAATGACACACTGGTAAGAGCCTCAACTTATTAAAAAAACAAAACTAGGAATATATTTATCACTTAACATTGATGAAAAACACAAATAGACAAAGGGTAGAATTTATGGAATCAGATAGGGATTTGCATAAATACTTAAATGACTCATAAATTAATTCTACTTCACACAGAAGGAGGGTCTGTTTGTTCCAAATGAGCTTCCTTTAAATACATCAATAAGTTAGATATAATGGATGATAAAAGTAATTTTCCTTCTATTAGTCTTTGATTCAAGATGTTTTGCTTTAAAACTTGAACACTATCCTACCAATGCTGATTAGGGATTTACCCCGGAGGAGAGCGCAGAGCTTGGTCCCCATTATTGATACAAAGTGGATCCCATTGATCCTGTTAGTGATGTTTAAGGACAGTTTTTCAAGGGGAATTTTAAATGATGATGGATTTGACAACTGACGTTCCAGGATAAAAATCAGATCCTCTTTTAGATTATGAGATCCTAAAGATCTTTTTCTACTAAACTGACAATCTAAATCTGGGCCTTTTATATCAATGACATCCCTGGACTCTCCTCCAGTCGGACTGCTGATGTGGTCAAAGATCTCCACCCAAAATACAGGTGGAGTCCTGAATTGTGAACACAGTAAAATCAGACTTAAAATATTTAATCTGATGGGGTTTTTTTTGTTTTAGTTTTTTTTTGTGGTGACGGTTTCAAATGAATAGACTGCTGCTCACAACTGAACATAATTCTCCTGAGAAAAAGAAAAGGTAGAAGAGCTTTGATTGTGATTGCATTGATCTTTTCAAAGAAATAACTTGTGGCAGTTTTGAGGGGGATTAAATTCTGAAACGGGATAAAAATCATGTCTAACAATGTAGAGATAATTATCAATTGAAGCCTTAATCCTCTAAGATGCGTCCCACTTCCACTTACCAATGAATGATAAACAATCCCGGGCACTTTTGGTTGCTTTGATCTGTATCAGAATGAAAGGTCTGAAAAATGTTTTAAATTTACTGGTTCAAATCTCCTAAAGATGCTTGGATGAGAGCTGCAGAGGAGATGACAGAAAGAGAAATGTCTGGCACCCTCAAACCACAAATGTCCAAATTTAGTTCAGAGACCATCAAAAAAAAAAAAGAAAATCCCAAATCTGTAGTAGAGACTATTTCATGGTAGATTTCTGTCTAATTTGGCCCTGATCCCAAAAGCAGAAACGTAATAGGAGAAAAACCTCCGAAGGTTTTGCAGTGAAAACACATTTCAAGTCTGAGGCCAAGGTTCTCCACAACAGGCTGGATTGTCACCTTGGGATTAGAGGTCCTCTTTTGGCTTATACAGGGAAGACATCTTGACATTTTGTTCTTAATAACGGTAATGTGGCTGAAGATGCTGCAGTGGCTATATAATTGATAGATGTTGCACTGACAGCATCACTTTAAATAAATCTACAGTTTGCAAAACCCCATTAATAAACTCTCTACAACCTTTAGCATTTTAGCAGAGTAATTTATGTCAGACGTGCTCGTCAACTGCAGTGAAACTACATCCAAAAGGCTGATACTTGAATTATTGTCCAAAGTAAGAAACTTAAAATATATTAGCAGATGAATGACAGTTTTTTTATGTAGCACCAATTATGAACAAACCAAAAAAATATTCTGGATACTCCCGCCTGAAGTGAGCTTCATAGCAGGACTTTAGAGACAATGGTGAGGAGCTCATTATCCAAGCGGGGAAGCTTCATTTTTGTTAGCTGTTCAGGACACCTCTTCTTCTCTTCCCTTCAGAGGCTTTTTTTGACAGTTCTTGCCAATCTGCTTTTTAAAAAGTAATGATATGAGCCTGCAGTTTGCTGCTTCACAGCCATGGCATTGTAGCTTACCAACTGTAGTTTCAAAGCAGAATCATTTTAAGAGTCATTAGTGGTGCTCTTTTAGTTTCAACACCAGCACTGGCTGTACTAGTGGTTCTTGCAATTGGAAATATACATCTGCAACATCAGCTTGTTGGACAGCAAAAACTTGGGGAAAGGAGTGTGATTTAACTCTACCTTTCTTATCTGAAGGGAGAACTCAACTAAATTAAAACTGTGCCATTCAATGAAATCACTAATCAGTCTCCTGTCTGTAATGTAGCTCTCTTCATGAAGAAACAACTCCTATCAGGAAGATGTTTGCTTAAAGGTATAGTGGAGGATCTTCTATTTCTGGGTGGATCATCTAAATAAGTGGTCCTGCTAACTGTCAATTATTCAGGTGATATGTTTTCGTAAGGCCTTCCTACGTGCTCGTCCTGTTAGCTATCTTTTTCTGCGCATGAGCACTTTCAGGCGTAGATGTTGGGCTACGGTTCCAGACAGTCATTGAAGCTCACCTTTCTCACCGCGGTTCTTTTAAAAATGGCCGAGGGTCGCAAGAGAAAAAGTGTCTACGAAATGTATCAAAGAAAAGAAAAGCCTCATCTTTCTAGGAATGCTCTATGTAGTGATTAAGGGATTTAGGGTATGGAGGACCAATCCTGCCATAATTAAAAAATAAATACAGAAATGAATATATGCTCCAAAAATAAATAAGCATAAATGCAGAAATAATTTGCATGGAAGAAATAAATAGGGTACAAAAATACAAAGGAAGAATAAATCACAAAAAAATATTATAACATGCACATAATTAAATATTTAAAGAAATAGGTCATAATAAATAAGGTAATTATTAAGAAGCTAATTAAAAGAGATATGTTTATGTCTCACTGTATAATTTCATTTCTACTTACATTTATTTGTTTATTGTATTTTTGGGGGGCAATTAATTATATGCTTATTTATTTTTGGAGCATTTATTTATTTCAATTTTTTTTATTATGGCAGGATTGGTCCTCCATATTAGGGCGGGTGTTCGAACACAGTAAGCTTATATGAGCGACATGCAAACTGTAACTTTTAAACAGAGCATGCACGAGTAGAAATGGGTTTGTGCATGCTCTCGCACGCCTTTAAAAAGCGTTCCCTCCTGGGAGCAGGTACAGGGCTGTGCATAGGCATTTTTTTTTAAGTGGATAGCGCGCGTCTTAAAAATAATCTGCGAAAACCCTCCACAATACCTTTAACAAAAAAAAAGAAGAAGTCCATTCATTGCAGGATTTCTTACCATGCTGGCATCAATGATCTGCCCTTTCCCCGACTTTGTCCGCTCCAGCAGTGCTAAGACAATCCCCAGAGCACATGTAAGGCCACCACCAGCAAAGTCTGCTATAAGATTTAGAGGAGCGTAGGGTTTCTCTCCACTGCGACCCAGTCGGGATAAAAGGCCTGGGAGGACAGCAAACAAATTGTTTAGACAAAGACAAAATAAACAATCATTTAGATTCAAAGCAAATTGAAAACACTCACTGAAGAGCCTCTGCACACAAGACTAATAAGCACAGAAGTGCACAAAACTCCTCTTCTTACATTTAAATAAATTTAGTTGGAGAACTTTACTCTATTACACGGTAACAGGCCTTTGTGTGGGAATTGTTATTGTTGTACTGCTATCACAGAAATAACAAAGGATATAAAAAAGGACCTTGAAAAACAACAACAATTTGAATGTGTTAACTAACAAAGAACATCAACCACAAGAAAGCACAATATAATAAACCGTTAAAAAGCAACAAGGTTTCTATGATATGTTGAAGCCTAATCTTTATCTACTTAATCCTTAAAATATCCACTGAAGTTTCCCTTTCGCTGTTTCTACTCTAAGTGTGAACCCACTCCTTGAATGTGAAGACATGAGTGGATTTAATGAATGTTATCTGAGGTCATATGATCAATATTGAGAGATCCAAAATACAGCCCTTTAGTTCAATATGTACCCTCAAAATGACATTTCAGATGTGGCTGAAATCACTCAGTGTGCTATAAAGTACAGCCTGGGCTGATGGACAGTTTTTCATTTAAAAGGCATTCTTGACAGCCTTTTCGGTGGAAATATTGCAGGTTATTTCAGTCCATAAAAAGCTTGACTGGGCGGTTCAATGAGGCCGTGCTGCGGTCACTTAAGATCCAGCTTTAATTGACGAAAAAAAAAATGAATGCAGCGCTTTTAGAACAGCAGCAAAAACGGATCCAAAGCCTATAATTATATAGTGAACTGTACAGCAAGAGGTATTAAAACATGAATTCCGCTTTTAATCACACTCTGTCTAAATGTATCCAACCGACTTATTATCTGTGCCCTCATTTAATGATTTAAAACTCCACAAATCTCAGTAATGGTAAACAGCCAAATCTCCCTGCTTTTTATCGTATTGAATTATTTACAATGATTTTGAAGTAGAAGGTTTTTGTTTAGCTTAATCCAGTCTCAGTTATTTGGAATCATTGCATTACATTCTTCTTTTAAGTGTCTCTGTTTTAGCAATTCACTAAAATGAGCGAACCAAAGTGTTTATGTGAAGCTGATTCAGCATGACAGCAGACATCGAGTAGGAAATTATGTTTCAAGGTAACAAGTTGGGGGCTTTTTTGTTCATCTTTTCATAGTTTGAACCTCCCTCTGGGCTGAAATGATGGTTATTGTAAAGTTTTTCAACAATACTTTGACGCCACCTCACACTTTCTCTGGTAAACAGATTTAAAACCACCGAAATATTATGTTTTTCAGGCCAAGTCAACAACGGGCCAGAAAAAAAGAAATTTAGAACTGAAGTAAAAACATTACCCTCCATACCTTCTGGCTGATCCTTTTAATAAAGACTTTCTAACATGTTTTGATAACGCTTTAAATAAGTAGTTATGTTCATGCAGCAGCTTAATCTCACACAGGAAATTCAACCTGACTCTAACCTGAAACAAGACTACCTTATTCAGTGTGGAAAAAAAAGGGACCCCACTGAAGAAACTATTTAGTACAATCCTGTATTGTTTAGGATTTTACAAACTGAGATTATATAGAGAGAGGGATCTTTGATCATTGTTCTTTGACAGCTTGTACAGATCATTAATAGTCCTGGCTCCCCCGCTCTATGTCGTCTTCCTAGCTCAACGTGAATCTACAGAATTTAAGTAAGAGGAATAAAGCCCAGATTGCTGTACCTTTCAGTTCCGTTCCTTTGCCACCATGCGTCCCTAAAAAAAAACGCACCTTCTACATCCACCAACAAGTTCCACTCCAAGTTCTTTAAAGCTCGAAGAGACGATGCATGAGAGTACCGGCTACAAGCGGACCAGAGAAAATAAAAGTTGTTTTATTTTGACGGTGAATGACGGAGAGAGGATGGTGATGTTCAGAGTAGTCAAAGAGAATGTGGAACCATTCTCATTAATTAACATAACAACAAAAATCCTCCAGCTGGAGGACTTGAGCATACCTGAGCGGAGCGTAAAAAAAACAGTGAGGAATCAACACAATAAGCTGCAAAAATATTGCAATAACGGTGTGTGCAATACTCATAAAGGGCCGTTTGTGGCAGCAAAATTGTTGGATAGGTTTCCAAATGATATTTTAATATAATATTTAGCCAGTTGAACATTGTTTAATGGCAGCAGATTCTCACAAATACACAAATAGAGCTGCTGAATATACTGAAGATTACAGAGTCTCAAAGATGAGAAAATGAAGAAAAAAGAAGAAATATTGCAAATTATATCATCATCACAATATTTATCTACATTATCGCCATCACAAGATGCTGGATTTTTAACACTTAGTACACAAATATAAAATTACAGTGAAATACAGTGTTATAGTTAATAAAAGATACATTTATTTGGAGGTTTTTTACTTCTCTTTTTTTCAAAGGCATCAATAAATGTGGTGGTCCCTAATGCTACAGCGCCATCCTATAATGTACAAATAATCTAAAACCAACTCAAATATTGGATAACTTTATTTAGTATTAAATATCTATTTAATAAAAGTTACACCTAGTCATGAATGCATGTAGTAAAGTAAATTTAAACAGTAGATAAGTGGAGAACAAAAGAGATGTCGGACCTAAAACAACACCAACTGTTCTTTAGAAAGGAAGGCAAAGATGGTGGGATATTAGACTTTAAATGGCTACACTAAAAAATATTAGAGGGAATCAAAAGAGAAGTTCTATTTCTTCAAAGTTCTATTTAAAGAAGAACTTTGAAGATTCTTGAAGGAACAACTAGTTTTTACCTGACATGGCGAGGTAGTTGATGTCATGTCCAGCTGCTGCAGCGTAACGCCCATTCTGACCATATCCCGTCAACCGAGCATAGATCAGAGCAGGATTTTCTTTAAGTAACTCATACGGACCAAGGCCAAGTTTTTCCATAACACCTGCACAGGAAGAAGATCTATTTAATGCTGATCCTTTGTTGTATTGTTTTAAGCTACATTTAAGAAAAATTTATGATCACGTATAACGTTGTTTTTTTCCTACGCTTTTTACAGACAAAGTTCTGACCTTTACGATAGGGCTCCAGTACAACATCAGATTGAACACAGAGGTTCCTAAGCAAAGCCACGCCTTCTGCCGTTTTCAGGTTGATAGCGACTGAACGTTTCCCTCGGGCTTGAGTGTCCATAGTTGTGAAAACTTTGGTTCGGTCCACACGGATCACCTTGGCTCCAAAGTCTGCCAGGATCATGCCACAGAACGGTGCCGGAGCCAGACCTGCCAGCTCAATGACTTTCACCCCCGCCAATGCCATGGCTTAGTGACTGCAAATTCAATTTAGACACATTTAGATTCAACTTAATGCAGGGAAACGCATGAGCTGTAGTGTTATTAGAAATTTTACAGCAGGAAACAATAATACAAAGTTTTATTCTCAATGATCCCATCACTCTTCTAACCTTTTTCAAGCTATTTTGAGTTCTTCTCCAAAGATTTATCAAATATCGTATACAGTACACAGAAACATCTAACTACCTCACTGAAAAAAACCCAACTAAGAAAAATCATCTGCTGGGTATTTATTTAGCATGAAAATTTTGCTTTTCTCTCTAAATAATATCTTAATCTTATTAGATCAAATTCAGAGAGCCTTTGTCCCCAGGGATAAAAAAAAAAAAAATACATTTTTATAGTGTCAACATGACATATTATCTCTGATTTTGTGTAATGAAGGGTTTAATTAGTAGCAAATTATAGCATCTTAATTTGCATATCAAATATCAACCAAGCTTTGGCAGCAGCTGCAATCTAGATCTATGCAACACTAATAAAGGCAACATTCTGTCTATGGGCTCCAGAAACTCACCACCCGTATGATGGTTTTCATCAATTGAAAATCTTTTGCATATTTTCAGACAGCAAGGAGACATTTATTAGGTTTAATTGCCCTGTTCCTGTATCTGCTCAGCAGTTTCTGTATCTTATCCGATTTAAGATTTACAGTCCCAGTTCAAGTTTGCATGAACGAATGAAGGATGTCATTAACGCTGAATTATTCAAACATTCTTCTAAATCCTTTATTTTAGGGACAAAGGGGTTTAGATTTATCATGGATATTCTCTGATCTAAAACATATAAGCTTATTAATAAGGGCCTAAATTGTATACATAAGGTAAAGTTTTTATAATTCCTTTTTAAGACATTGAGTTAGTCAGGCCTTGTGTATACGTTTTTATTCAGAACTGACAAAAGTCCTTCCAGAAATGCAATGTTTGCCTGCACAAAAAAAAAAAACAAAAAAAAAAACTTTACCTTAGCATTGCAAATAGCACTTATCTACTCGTGAGCATAGACATTAACATATTTCACTGGTGTTTTGACTTACAAACTGGAATGTATTTACATTAAGTTTGGTACCATTCCCAGATTAGCCCTCCAAAATCAAAAGTTAAAAAAAAAAATCAAAGAAAATATAAAATCAGCCACCAGTTCTTGCTTTAATTTTGCTGTATCTGCTTTTCCATGCAGGGGGTTTCTATATAATCTCCATTACTTTACATTGTAAACTAGCTTTACCTTGTAAATTATTAATAACAACAATGTGTTCTGTGTTGTTAAGACACTGCAGAAACTTTTTGTCTAAAGAACATTTAGCTTCATGCAGAGGATTATCTTAGTTGATTATTTTTGGATGCATTGTTTTACATTTTAAACATTATGCTGCAAGAAAACCTTAAGTGAAGTGAAGCATTTTTAGGAACAAAATAATACTGTCCATCCAGAGGCGTAGCCAGAAAATGTTTATAAGGGTGGCCATGCAATAACCAATGTACACTGAGGGGTGGCTGAAAGTAGATAGGCATCAAAACCTCACGGTCAATCTTCACTGTTCCAACAGGAAAATTATCAAGCAAAAGATACATATTTTCAAAATAATGGACAAACTATACTTTCCTACAGCCGTTGCCAACAAATAGACAAATACATTCAAACATCCATGCTTTCTAGATAAAAAAGTATAGTGGATAAAACTTACCTACTTTTATCAATAATCATTCTGCATAAAATTGATATTTACATGCACTAATATCTACATAAATTGATTATTTAATAAGTTTTTATTAAAAGAGTTATTTATCTACGATTTCAATGAAGACTCCAGATAACTTGCAGAGACACATCATTTTCTCTCTATACCATAAAACACAAAATCTATTTCTGCTTGAATTCTGTACTCATCATCTTTAATGTCAGTATATTGATGTGCATAATGAACCGCAGTGTTGTTGTTATCAACTAATTCTTAACATATGTTCCACTTGAGATTATTACTGTTGCCACCATCTGTATTACAGAGATGGTAGGGAATGGTAGGGGTGGCCAATGATTGGCTAAGGGTGGCCATGGCCCCCCATCTAGCTCCGCCCCTGTGTCCATCACACCACAGGGGGTATTACTGCATGAGCCAAATGGAAAATAAAATATTTTTAAATGAATATTTTATTTATACTGAGTTAGTGATTTATTTTTATGTGATCATAAGGACAGCTTATTCATACACGTATACTTAGGAAATTTCCATTTGAAAGCAACTACTACCAGGAGGCTTTCAGACTTAGAACTTTAGACTTTGGACATTTCAAAAGTCTGCTTTAATCCTAGTGCAATCTTCACCATGAACAGTCGAAACTTGCTGCAAAACAATCATAAAAACTAAAGGAAAAATACTGATATAGTGATTTTTGGCCGATTCATATATTAGGCTTTTATAGCTTTTTCATTGTATTTGATCCCTTTTTGATGTTCAATTCCCTCTTTGACAGCTGCTGTTTTATTGGTCTGGTGTTATATTCTAATGTCTAATGTATCAGTGCGGCTCAATCCGCGGACCAAAGCTCAAAGTTAGCGGCTCAAAGATTCAAGTGATGAATAAAGTTGTTTAACCTTAAATTCACATGTAAAAAAAAAAAAAAAAAAAAAAAAAGGATGGCGTCCTATAGGGACCAAACCCCTGGTTTTAGTCCTTGTCCTCCTACCTGCACAGGTCTTCTGTGTAGTTATTTAGAAGTATGGAGGGAAGAAAGACAGACAGAGAGATAGAGGACAGGAGCTCGCTGCCTGCTGTGCTAAAAGTAAACAATGGACTTCCTGGTGATGTCATTACGTTCTGTCCCTTTGGCCTTATGGGAAATGAAGTTTTGGCCTTATGGGAAATGAAGTTTTGGCCTTATGGGAAATGAAGTTCTCTATACTCGTCAGCGCCTATTTTATGGAAAGACAAATTAAAAAGAGTGTTATTGTATTAATCTGTTGATAATCAGTAATTTAAATCAGGGGTCCTCAATGTTTTCCCGGCCAAGGACCCCAAAATTGATGGCGAGATGGAGCGGGGACCCCCTAATTATATGTATTGTATGAAATAGTATATTATCAAACTGGTCCTATAGTCACTCTTTTACAGACGGAGTAATGTAAG